TTCATTGTAAAAGTGGGATTAAAAATTCATTTAACACACAGGGATAAGCTGTTCTGTGACAGTGGTGGGAGCTCTACAGTACCTTTAATGGGCCCAGCTTGTGCTGACAGATGAGTTGAGCTAAGTTGCTCTAGACCAGGGGCTCCATCCACTTCCTATTTCTAAATGAAACAGACTGTTATTATTTCCAACAGGCCATACAGTAGCCTTGTCCATCATTAAAGCTATGAATCATGTCTCTGCACTAGCAGTGGCTCCCTCAGGGGTATATCATTCCCTTTCTCCTTAATCTGGGCAGATTTCCGTGCTGGGTCCACGCTATAGGATTCTGTTTTTAGGAACAGCTTGCTCATGTTACTCTACAACTGCACTGCATACTACAATCTTCCCACATTTGCCATTAAATATTGTGGTTTCAGGTGTTCAGTGTAGTAGAACGTGATACACATGCAGAATTCAACAGTGGTTAAACTGAACTTTACACAGCTTGGATTTTATGAGGAGAATGTTTAGCTGCTTTTTAGCTCTGTTAGATGACATTATCACAGCAACGGAAAGAACCATATGCGGTTTATGCCGATGCTGAAGTGAGCGTTGAGGGATTTGTTCCATTCAAAGCAGAGGTTACAGTTCTGGTTGCAAGAAAGATAAAAAGAAGTCATGCTTCTAAGCTGCTTCATGCTGTTTTTAGAGGTCAATTGCATCTTTAAAATACTCGCATTAAACCTAAAGGGTCTAAATATAGGCTAGTTTGTTTGGGGGGAAAACAATCTGTATGTTCTCTTTGATTCTGTTTAAAGCTACCATGTCAGACTAATTTATATGCAGGATTTTTCTTTCAGCAGTGATGCAATAAGCTGCAAAGCAATTTGTCAATTGGGTTCTTCATGCTGCTAAAAGAAAGTGAAGGAGAAATATCTCACTATATAATTACACATGAGCGTGTAACAGCATGTACACTATGTACTTGTATGTGATTGAAAGCCAGGAGACGGCTTTCTATTTGAAAAGCTGTGCTCTTTGTGTTACCTGCCCTGGGAAAAGGTGTACAGGTTTAGTTTAAAGATTAACTTTGGCAGGAGAGCCATCTATCACTCAGATTGCGGGATTCTGTCTGTCTCCTCTAACTAATTGGTTTTCTATCTATCAAAAAATGATTTCTATGCCCTTTGGCCGAGTCTTGAGTGCTCACGCAGTAGTACAAACCAACTGTGAAAAAGGGGAAAAGGAAATACCTGGACCACAACTTCTGCAGAAAAAAAGAATAATGCATGAAAAGATTTTACACAGCACCTATCAATGATATCATTTATTCCTTTCATTCATTAGTGCTTGAACACAATAGTGTACACACTAGATTCCTTTCAGTCTGAAGTTTTCAGCACACATTTGCATGTTCAAAATGTTTATTTTCTTTCTTGCTATGGTTGTTTCAGCTGAAATGTCTTTTCTGTGAACAGCTCTTCTCTGTATCCCTCATTGAAAATGCTGCTGCTTTCTTTAGAAAGCTGAGATGCAGCGTTGACCCCTCTTAGAGAAGAAGAGTGTTGTTATAGTACCACTGCCC